TGGTGCTCAGTTGCCGACTGAGGTTAAACCACAACAGTATGGAAGAGTGTGGGGAGTAGATCTGTGAGATTTGCTCCCCTGTGCATGTACATGCCCACTTGTCATCTCCTGATGTTCAATAGGAGTATGTTTGTGTTCTCTTTGTACAGCGTCTGATGCAGCCTTCTCTGCTCTTGGCGCTGCTGAATAAAAGTAACAGTTGATGGTATTCTACAGAAATAAAGGTCTGGAGCATCAAGTATCACTATTCACCAGAGTGGGGTTTTTTTGTTTGCTTGCTTTTCAGGCAGTATTATGAGATGCTCTATAACACAGCAGACGAGCTTTTAAACCTCGTGGTGGATCAAGGGGTGAAGTACACAGAGCTGGAATACATCTACGCCCTGAACTTACTGCACCGGAGCCAGACAGGTGTGGGAGACCAAACCACCCAGAACATGAGGTTGCAGCGGTTGAAGGAGATCATTTGTGAGCAGGCTGCTATCAAACAGGCCACCAAGGACAAGAAAATCACCACCGTGTAATCTGCTCTGTCGCTCATATTCACTGAGCAGCGGGGGCTGTCAGATTGCAGGTCCAAGCCTCTGCGTTTCTGTTATAATCAAAGGCAAAAGTGCGTATCTTCTGGGTGGCATTGTACTAGTGAGAAGGGAAATGTCATTTGGGATTTGGGTTTGGGGTTGTTTCGGGGGTTTTGCTGTGTAATCACATAATGCTTCCTTAATGTGTTCTCCCAAGAGTGATTGCACCGCAGGAACAGGCATCCTGGTAGAGATTTGGGTGGGATATTTGGCTTTGCTCTGTTGCTGCTGCTTTGCCTTGAGATGTAAGGCAAGCTGCTATCTGGCGGGGTGGGAAAAGAGAAGATTTCACACTGGGTTAGGTCGGAGTCTTCAGTGGAAGTTCAGACCCCAGTAAAGTAAACAGCACCGTGACAAGTCAAGCACAGACCTCTTGGTCACATGTGAGATCTTGATGGTTTTGAAGCCATTCCAACAGCATTGCTGTGTGGAGCCTGTTTCAGCTCTGCCAGTACTATTCTCGATGGCAGTTGTAGATGTGTTAAGTTTTCTGCTGTTTCCACTGCAAAGAGATCTATTTGCTTATTCCTTCGGATAGCGATAAGCCAATTCTCGTAGTGGGAGGTAACATGGGACCATTTGTTTCCACTTCTACTTTTTCATTATCACAGAGCCATATGGCATCGGTTTCTACAGCGCATACTGCGCTGGATGATGGTGGATGTAGGAGAAAATTGCCAATATAAGGTAATAGCAAAACTTAATTCTCTTTTTCTGAATATATCTTTTGAGTCTCCCCAGCTGAAAAGGTATTTTGTAATCATCATTTGATGTACTGGAAGGGCACGCAGGCTTATGTAGCTCAGCACTAATCATCAGCAAGGGCAGGAGGAGGGCAGACCCCAGCTCTGCAGTCTGAGGTGCACTCAGGTCACCATTTCTGCCCTGCCTTGACCATATAAAGCCACCTGGTAAAAGGTTCCTTATTTATGGAGGCTGAGGAGTTTATACCATCCCTCCAAACCGAGAATACACTGTGCTTGTATTTGTCAAGTAAATTGTCGACCCAGCTGGGTTTCACGTCCTGAGAAAGCTTCTCTCTGAGCTGTGTAACTGCTTGTGTGTCAGTCTTGAAACTGCAAAATTAAAGGATGTTTGAAGACTCCTCAAAGGCTCTGGTGCTTTGTCTGTTTTTTTTTTAAGGACTGTTATTTTTGTGGTATTTAAAAGATTCCCTTCCAGGTCCGAATTCATATGGTGTCCTCCAAGGTTACATCAGTGAGGAAGTGGTCTTCTGAATCATTCAGTCTAATCCCCAGCTACCACAGGCCAACTGGACAACAAGCTTCTTAACCTCCATGTTAAAAGCAGAACCCAGTAGTTCTAGTTGTTAGGAATCTTCTGGTTTCTGTTCTCATTTTATTCATGAACCCAGTTTTTCGTACGCCAATATTGGCCATTAACTACAAGAGTTCCTTCCTTTCCTTGATGAATTGGCATGAGTGAGGGTGGAGAACACCATCACGGTAACATGTATGATGATGTGGGGTCTTTCTGGGGGTAACACATGAGATCTTTATTCACCTGCTCAAACATCTAAATGTGCTGCGGTGTAGATACAGGAAAGCAAGCTATTCCATATCCAGACTTTGGAGGAAGGTAAAGAAGCTGCTTGGTACATGTAAGACAGATTTCAGACCCTTTGAGGTACAGAAGTGATGTGTGAGGAGCTCTGAATTCAGGCTGGGCTGCTGTGGCCTAATGTCAGACTATTTTTGATTTCTTTCATCTTTAATTGCTTAATAATCTGAGGCTCTGCCTCGTCTTCACGTGCACGTGGTTATCTCAAGCTTTGCAGTCCACATTTTCCGCCCACCAAGCAGCTGCGCTGGTGGGTGCCATGACAGATTGCATGAAATCAAGAAAATTTCAGACTTGGGAGTACGTTTGCTTCCAAATCAAATTATTTAAAAGACTCTTCTTGTAAAGATAACTGCACCTCACATTGTCTGTCACACCGCCACAAGATGTAAATGCAAAGCCCTTGCCCATGTCTGTGCGCTGGCCTGAGGTGTGAGAAGGCACTTGCTGGATTGCATGGCACAAGAACACCGTGGCATGACCGTGGAGTGAAGGCAGTGACATACAGGGACTTACCTAGAGCCTGGTAAGTCTTTTCTTTCCTGGAGGAAAGAAAAGGTTTTGCAATTGAGGTAATTACAGTATATAATTAGCTTGCATCTCACTCCTCAAGTGTTCAGACTCTCAGGACTCTCCAAACCTTCACAAGGGAAGTTAATATTCTCTCTGCGTATTAGAGTGGTCACACCAAGGGCACAAAGGGAGTGAGGGTTGCCAGAGGGCACAGAGAAAGGCATGAGCAGCACGTGTCATGTAGGAACCCAGACCCTGAGCACCTTATTTCAGCCACCCATTGACATACGCTGCACAAGCTTTCTTGCTGCATCACAAGATGCTGCCAGAAAGAATCCTCATCAGCCTTAACAAATCCTTACTGAATATTTTTTCCTGGAAAGGTAGCTTTTGAATGCACTGTGTTTTCTTGCCAACAGGTGTTTCAGAAGTATAACATAGAGAATGAAGATTATGATTTTTGAAGCGTAGAGGTCTCCAGATAGCTCATGTTTAGGCAATGCACCTAGTTTCGTGTGTGCATGTGTCGGTTTTAGATCACCCACTCTCCCTGCTGCTTTCCAAGAGAGAGCACTAAATAATCAGCAGGCCCATCCTCTGCACAGCGCTGTTACGCTTTGCTAAACCATCTCCCAGTAAGTTTCCCGCTGCATGTGTGTCTCCAGATAGCGCTAATGGCATGGCAGCAACCCACTTGCTACAGAGCACCTGGACAATATGAGCAATGAGGGGGCTATTTTGGCACCAAGCCTGCCTGGAGAAAGAGAGTCCCCTTGCAAGGGGTCTGGCTTGTGTGTTGGTGTTTGTTGCGAATCCTTGCTCGGTAATAGGGGATCGAGTGGGTGGGGGAGAGATCTTTTGGGAACATTTTTTGTTCATTAAGCTGTTATTGTGGGTAGAGACAAGCTGTTATGTTTAATAGTAAATAACTATTCAGACAACATGCTGGCTTATCCACTCACAATGTCCACACACACACACTCAGAAGCACCCATCTGGAGCCACAGCTGGGAGGCCCACCCCAAAGGTGGTTGGAAGAAAAGGGTGGTACTGACACACCAGTGGCTTCTAAGCAGGTGTTTGGAAGGTCTCTTGAGCGCCCATTGTCTCACCCAGGCGTCTATGTAATCCTGTACTCTCCGTATAGCAGCCACCACCCTCCTGGGTATGGTCCGAGTCACGCAGCGCCTTATTGCTGCTCGTATGTGCTCATGGTCTTGCGCAGATTTGGCAGGCGCTGGCTGTCCTGAATTTATCAGTTCGTATAGAGTCAACAGAAGCACAAGTCTCCCGAGGGAGAGCCCTTGGGAAACTTTCTGACGCTACCTGGCCAGCATTTACTTTTCCTTTCTTCAGCGTGTTGTCTGGGAACTATTTCTCCACCCCAACCTGTGGAACCCGGTCACACAGATGGAGCATTTATAACACATTCACAGCGGAAGATGGTTTCCCAAAGAGAACAAACCACGTGAGGGTGTTGCAAACTGTGCAAGGACCCAGGAACCCCCTTTATCTTAGATCTGAGCTACGTGCAGCGCAACTTACCCCACTTCTGCCCCGAAGGAGGGACCCAATCCTCAGTTTGGTACCTTCTTACAAGACCACAGATAACTTCTCCGGTTCTGTTCTCTGCACCAGTTCTTGCCTACAATGGTTTTGCAGTCCTGACATAACCCTGCAGGACACAACGGTTTATGGACAAGGCCTAGAGATTTTGTTTTGTAATGCAACATGAAATGCTGTCAGCTCCGCCAGTGCTGAGAGAGTAATCGTTATATGGATGTGGCCCTTTGGTGCTTAAAGAGACAAGGAAATACTTCTCCAGACCGCAAAACGAAATATTTTCATGGGGGCTGTAAAAGTTCATGAGGGTTTCACAGTTTCCTCTTTACAGCCTCATAATCTTTACTGGATTTTAATTATCACACTATTTTGAAGCCTGTGCCAGACACAATAGCAGAAGTGGAAGGTAAAGCAAATTGCTCTGGTTCCTTTCACAGTTTCACAGGGAGTGCCTCTTCCCTCTTGACATCCTCTTGATTAAGGATGATATAAACCTGCCTGTCTGACGGATATACATACAAATATATGTATGTACACACACGTGCATAGATAGATAAAGCCCCACAGGGATATCATGGTGTGGGTCCCCCCAGCCTCACAATCTGCCATCCATGTGACGAGCACGGCCATTCAGAGACAGCACCGGCTGGAAAGGTTTGCGAGGAGTCGTTCCACTGAGACTCTCTTTTTGCCTTTTATTGGCTGCGTTTTTATTTTATTAGCATGAGTCATAATTGCAAATTTATTTTTGAATGTGGTAGATAGCAATAAAGGGGAGGGCACTCAGACAGGGAGCGGGGGAGAGCTGCCAAGAGGAAATTAGCATTGCAGTAATGTTGATTCAATTGCTCTTAGACAAGCGGGGAGCTTTTCTGGGGGGGAAAGAGAGTCATTTTACGGAGCTGAGACATGGAGAAGTCACATGAATGGTCACTTGCGCACTGATCCTTAGTCCTGGGGATTAATTCCCGTAGGGGGAAACATATTACGATACACAAGCCCTGTCCATCACTGCAGACCTTGGCCACAAACCTGACTGTGCTCTAATTTCAGGAATTTATTACCCAAGGATTCATCCTACCGCACTTTAAATACCCGGTGACCCACATCAATTATATCACAGCAGCAACCTGAGCCTCGGGCAAGGCTGGACGTCCACCGCTGTGTATGTGCATAGCAGGGGATGTTCTGCCCTGAAGAGTTAGCACTCCAAACAGGCGTGATGGATGATAAACTCGAAAGCAAGCTGAGATGCAGGGAAGTCAAATGTCGCTCTCCAGGCCGTGGTCCCCGGTGTACTAGCCCTGCTCTCTCATTACTGGGCAAAGCCATCTCGTCAATCCAAGCTGGAGCTGCCTGTGCCCTGCAGTTCATGTTGTAGCTTTTTGTATCGAATAGGGAGCGTGCTCAGAAATGAGGCATTTTATTTTATTTTCTGTTCCTTCCTTTGCTGATTGGATCTAACAACTGAGCCAGGAAAAAAAAACCAGGTAGCTGCGGCCAGCATATAATCATTAAATTTGCTTTTGGATGACCTGTGTGAAATTCATCAGGAGCGATTTATTGGGAAGTTCATTGCATCGGTGTTCATTATTTACTCTGTTAGGCTTAGGCACAGTGGCAATCAGTGGAGAAAATTGGACTGTTAGGGCCTTGGATTTCAGTGTTTGTAATTTCCTCTACCGAGTTGCAGCGTGAAATACATTTGGCACAGACAAATCACTCCGTCCCCTGCTATAGCTCACGTGCTCATCTGGTGGCGCCCAGCCATCATTGTGGCTCTGACAACTGGAGAGGTGAAAGCAGGTCTGGGGAAAAGAAAAGAGGAATAGAAAGCAGCCTGAATCCCATCCCTGGTGCTGAGCACTTCCAAAGGCCTGCAGTGACTTAAATGAGTATCACGGTTATTTTTCATGCCTCTGCCACCCAGCTGAGGCAAAGCTACTGCTCTGGCTCCTGGTGAAGTCCCCCCTCCATCGCGGGACTCTGATAAGCACAAGCAGGCCAGACCTGAGCTGAGCGGTAGAGGGACTAAAATCCAGGGGATCCGCAAAAGAGAGACTGATGGAGAACTGGTGGTATTTGTATTATACAGATTGCGTTTTCCTGGTCGTCAAGAGGAAGATGCAAGAGGAACTGGCCTGGAGATGAAATACCTCTCTGCCAGTCTCTCCTTCCCTCGGTAGCTGTACTGTTTGCTGGCCCCCTGCCCTATTAGAGACCTCGCAATGACAAGCAGCGACACACAACATTGCAGTGGCTTCGCGATTCTGAATATAGCCAACTCCGTCAGCTCTGTAATAACCAGACATCAGCTCTCTTGTGGTATCTACAGATGTTCTCCAGCAGGATTGGCTGTCAGAGTCTTTGTCCTAAGACAAAGGGACAGTCTTCAAGGCATCTCTGATCCCCGCCTCCAGTGCCTTTTCTGTCCCCTAGCTGGTGGCACATCCC